AGGAGGCCACCTGTCAATAGCATTATCTAGAGCAATATTAAAGTCTCCACCAATTAGAAGAAGAGAGTTTGGATATCTAGTGAGCCAGAATGTGATTCTTTCCTCTATTGAATCAAGTAATTTGTCATTCTCGAGCTTATTATTATAACCATAAAGATTAATAATTATAATATAAATGTTGTCAATTCTAATTATAAGACATATGTAACGTCCCAAGGAGTCACAGTCTGAGTGCAGGACATCACCAGTGAAAGTATTTTTAAGAGTGGTTACCCCAGCAGATCTCTCTGAACCATGAGAAAACCAAATATCGTTTCCCCACTGAGATTTCCAAAAATTGACATCAGCAGATGTGGAATGGCTTTCCTGAAAAAAACAAAAATCCGTACGAAGTTGTTTAGCAAATAAAAATAAGGCTTTCCTTTTACAAATCTGTCTTAAACCCCTGGCATTTAAAGAAACAATGGACAAAGACAAAGTTATTAAAGAACACGAACGAAGAATAAACTAGAGAATAACCAATAACAAATGTATTAGGAGAGTTTTCCTAAGTAAGGGGACCGAGTGCTGCATCCTAGAAAAAAAATATATCGGTAAAAAAGAAAGGAACAAATTGTTAGTCCCGGCCAACTAAATAGCACATCAGCTGCCTTGGATATTAAATGGCCCTAAAAAACAGAACATAATAGAAATGGCAGCGATTTTGTAAAAAAAAAAAAAAAAAACTGTAAAGACCTAGTTGCAGGATAACAAAAACACTAAATATACACTATCAACTCTGAATGTAGTGCAAATCAAACCAGTAGGCGTCCTTGTGTTAAAAGGCAGCAGGCAAGTCTGTTTCTTAGGTGGGCAAAGGAACTTCTGAACCGTTGATAAACCCGCGACCTCCAATGAAGAAGGCTGGTTTGCCCTCCTCTCGAGCTTTTTTTATCACTGGCCATAGTTTGCTCCTTCGTTCTCTGTCTTCCTTAGACAGATCCTCTGCAAATCGTAAGCCGTTGTTGCGCAGGTATGGTGATGTCTTGGCAGCTTTCCACACGGCATCTCTGCAGACACGTGCGATGAACTGGATGATGATGCCTCTGGGTCTGTGGTCATTCTGCCGCTTATTGCCGAGCCGATGTACAGTGTCGATAGTATCAGCCAGCCTGTTCTTTTCCTCAGGCAAAACAGCCTGACAGATCTCGATGGCCTTCCTCCGTATGTTTTCCTTTTCTATTTCATCAACTCCGTAAAGTCTAAGGTTCCATCTCCTAGCATATCTTTCTAACTCCGAGACCCTTTGCTGACATGCGTCTACTCGTTTCTCTTCTCTCGCCATTTTCACCTCGAGTGTACACACTTTGCTCTTTACATCCTTAACTTCAGCACATACAAAGTCAATTGTCTTTTTAAGTCCTTCGATTTTAAGTGCATTGGCACTGACCATGCTTTCAATGCTGTCTGACCGCGTATTTATTAGGGTTGAGAGGCTGGCTACGATATCGCTAGCGTTAGCATGTTCAGACCCGACTGTGCACATCATTTTCTTCGAAACAGGTGACTTACTGGGAGTAATAGGCAGCAGTGGAAATTCTTCCATGAAGTTTTCCGCAGTAGGGAGAGGAAGGGAAGCGGAGGAATAATCGTGACAACTGTCAACTAGAACATTGCCAGCCTTAGAAGTAGCAGCATTGCTATCATCTGGAATTAGCTTCCGTCCGGCGCTCTCTTTGCCTCTTTTCCTTTCGCGTTGGTTTGACATTGCTCAAAAGTTCGTTTTTCGATTAGTGTAGTATTTAAGAGAATAAAACTTAGTGCGTGGCGAGACAAAAAATAGAGTTTTACCGTTTCCAAAACTTTCGTTTGCAGAGCTCGGTAGAAAGCGTCTACTCACTCGGCCATCTTGGCACGCCCCATCTCCCTCTATACAGTAAGAGCTTCGTTGTGCAGTAACGTGCGTCATTGATTTCATAACGAGTTTGGCAAGTGTCCAGATAAACTCGCGCTGTGTGGAAAGATTGTTCTTTGATCGCTTTCTGTATATAATTTGTTCACAATTTAAATACGATTATTTTCATCCTACTAAAAGAAACGATGTGAAGCTGATATTTTAGTCACTGGCTTGACTTACTGATGCATAAACAGTATTGAACGATTTTGAGAGAAAGATTACCTGTCTGAACTTGAACAATTACACATCAGAAAGTGTTGCTTTGGTAGCTCGATCCGAGGCCAGCTCTGTATTGGCCCAAGTTGAGGAAACACTCGGTGAAATGTTTGGAAATTTCCAGAGAAAATAAAATTAACCCATTGTTTCTTCAGAGGCCCAGATGAAGGAACTAAAAAATACTTTTGTGTTCATGTGTACATCCACACTGAGCAACTGCCATGCTTCGGCTGCGCAGTTCCGCCTGGCATTGAGGGCTGGCATTATGCAAATATTTGGAGGCGTACATACCGGTATTAATGATCCCGACTATTGCGTCACAGTCGGTATTGTGTGGAGAACCGACCGTTTTTCAGGGGTGTTTTTCATAAACGTGAATTAAATGAGAACGCGAAAACAGTCCAGTTTGAGATTCACTCTATGTCATGTCCATGCACTGAACTCTTGTTATTTGACTATACCAAGGTAAATTCAATTTTGAATTATAGGTCACCTTTAAATTACTTGGTTGTACAGGTTGTCTGTGCGTTTCAGTCCCAACAACCTTTTCTATCGCCATCGAGGCTAATGTGCTGAAAGTCGAATATCTGTCCCGTCGTATTTCTGGCATAAGTTTTAATTCGCTTTAGTGCTGAGAGTGTCTGCTCGACAGAAGCAGTAAGTTAAACAGGGAAAACACCTCAAAACATGACGTGTAACGTTACAGCTGACACAAGCACTCACGCAGATTTTTGAACGATATCAATGAGATCAGCGGGACTTTTGCCTTTAAAATCAGTCCTGGCATTTACAGTCAGTTCTGTTCTTACCCCGGACAGATCGATAAAGTTCCGTGACTCTGCGTATTAAAGCTGAATAAGGGATTTTTTCCGGTAGGTTTGAACCTGCTGGTGGTCGAGGAATGAAAGAAACATTCATTTGTGGGTTGAAAAACTATTAAATCTACAGGAATATATTTTAGTTTAGTACGTTACAGATGTGGTTAGCTAGCTCTGACTACCAGTAATAGTAGTACACGGTCTGACCATCCAATCAAAGGACGTGAGAATGCCGACGTCATTGTACGCATGCTAGATGGCCCCGGTGCGCGATATTTTTTTTCACAGGATGGTAGGGGAAGACTCATGAATATTCATTAGGGAACTCATCCCTGATTGGTCTGATGACCTACCCCTAACCCCGCCCCTAAACCTACCCGTCACTGGGGGTCTGATGACTTACCCCTAACCCCGCCCCTAAACCTTCCCGTCACTGGGGTTAAGACCAATCGCAGGGATGAGTTCCCTAATGAATATTCATGAGTCTTCCCCTACCATCCTGTGAAAAAAAATATCGCCCCCGGCGCAGTCAACTCGAAATCTGATTGGCTGATTAAATCTGACTGATTATCTGATTGGTTAAAGCAACAGTTTCATTGCCATTCATTTTAAGTTACATGCGCCCGCACTGTCGATTCTGAAGGCCTGAAGGCAGATTTATTTGACCCTGGCAACACATGATGGCTGAAATATGATTGGATAAAAGCGCTAAAATAAATATACACTGGAAGCAGCGCAACCAAGAGAAAAGCTATTTAAGAGAATGGACTATTGGAAATAATTTAATACTCATTCATACAATAAAATATATTAAAGTGCAAGTCAGTGATTCTGATAGTGTTTAGGCCAGCAGAGAAGGCCTTGCTGGCCCTGACGGCCCACCACTGACAGAAGCTCAACCGAACATGCTTGACACCCTAGAACTAATCTCATTGGTTCTTGCTGAAGCTCAAACGTGCTGCATAACACGAGATTGAACCTCATTGGTTCTCGCACGTCTAGTGAACATGCTTGAGCTTCCCTTTACCACAACTGATGTGTGAGTTGAATCTTGATGAATGTTTATATGTGAATAAAAGCCTAAATTCAATCTGTTCATCATATAAAGCGATCATCCAGAAAATGTGGATTAAACCACTCAATTCATATGGATTAGTTTTACAATCTCTTTATGAACTTTTTGAAGCGTCAAAGTGGTATTTGCATAGCCTGTCAAATTCAATGAAGGGACAGAAAGCTCTCAAATTTCATCAAAAAGATCTTCATTTGTGTTTCGAAGATAAATAAAAATCTTACGAGTTTGGAACGACATGAGTAATTAATGACAGAATTCAATTTTTTGGGTGAACTAACCTTTTAAGGCCGTTCACACCAAGAACGATAACTATAAAGTTAACTATAATGGTGGACAATATTATTCTGCTCATTCTAAACACATGCTGCCGTTTTGTCAGCTGCTGCTTTAAAATCTCAAGCTCTTTAACGTCTACTGGATTCTGATTGGCTGTCATTGCTTTTAATCATTCATCAGCTGGAAAAAAAATAGTTAGGCCTATGTAAGTGATTCCAATGATATTGTTTCTCTGTGCTGTTATCAATATGGTTGTGCTATTATTTTATACTTAGATCGATTTTTATATTGCGAATTATATTATTATCAGCCAATCATGCTTGGTGTAGATGAGCCTTTAGACACTCGATCATGGTTTACCAAAGCAACACCACCTAGATACGACAAATGATTCAAGTTTTAGAACAGTATAACGTAACAAAGCCTCATTGGCTGAAATCATGTGACAAGTTCCGGACCACTGATTCAAAACAAAAGATTCGCAAATGTTTCAAAGCTTCATGTTTGTTGCTAATGCAATGTTCTAGTTAAGCTGCAGGAACTAGCGTGTCAATTATCAAATGTTTATTATTTATAGCTGCTTTGAGTTTCAGCGAGTTTTCAGACATTCTTTTTATGTCATTACAACATTGATGAAAAATAAAATGTTAACGTGATAATCTTTTTCTCTTGAACACAGAGAAATGGCGAATTCTGGATATTGGCGTGTTTATGTTGGGGCTATTTCCCAGGATACCCCTCAGACTCCATTATTTGTGAAGAAGATTATGGTGAATGAGAATTTCAACAGCAAAACCAATGATTATGACATCGCCTTACTGAAACTCACCAGTCCTGTTGCTTTCTCCGGTGAGTTGGATTCACTTAATGGAGTAGTTCACACAAAAATGTAAATATTTGTTCTACATTTTCTACAGTGAAACCATTTAGTGACCCTTAAAGAACCATGTATTATTTATATTCTGAATATTCTACAATGGTTTAACATTCTCTTTCACATACAGATACCATACAGCCAGTTTGCCTTCCTACATTTGACCAGACCTTTTCTGATGGATTAGAGTGCCGGACATCTGGCTTTGGGACAACACAAGAGGGAGCAGGTACAGGGAGATAACAATGAGAATCAACGAAAATGGTAGAGGGAAAAAAAATGGGACAAAGAGTAACAACATGTATTATTATAATTTACTTATCAGGACAGTGTTATAGTAGCCTGGGAAAACCCAGACAACTTCCGGCAAATTTAGATTTGCTCTGAAAGTTAGTCTGGCAAAGAGCTCATTCAAGCCCGTTTCCAATCCGCTGAAATCGCGGCACCAACCAGAAACGTTGGGGCGGGCTTTACACGATGGCGACAGCGCTGGGATTTTGAAGCAGATTTTGTAGCCTACATTACAAAGATGGATGCCGCCGTCGAACATCACTCGTTCGAATCAGCTATCGCGTCTGTTTTAAGCGATTTGAACGTTTCCTTTTTGTTAAAAACCGAGCAAAGAACAACACTCGGAGATGTTTCTGCCGCTCTGCATACGTCATCTCCTTCATCGCTCTGATTGGTTTTAGGTCTATTCGCGACGTCCGTTGGTGACGCCCCTCTGGAAATGATTTGTCTATGACGCTTTGCCAGACCATAACTCAGTTACAACTGAGAATGGTCTGGTTTTAACCAGGCTAGTGTTATAGAGAAAGTAAACATACTAAATTTAGTGGGTGAATCTCACAAATCTGGTTAAAAAGAAATAAAAAGTGAGAGAGACAGAGAGATAAATAACAAATTACATTTTGCATGAAGAAAATTAAACTTATTTTTCTATGATTATTAAGATTTTTTTATGCATGTGTGACTTGTCCTGAAATGAGTCTCAACACAAAAAAAGCTGATATAGTATTTCAATTGTAAAGTATACAACTGTATTTATACAACATGTGTTGCCTTCAGTTAATGCTGATTTTGTTATAAAACTTGTGTGCAGATATAGGATCATTAAAAATTGTAATTTAAATGATAGCAATCATCATTGAGAATAAAGAGTATGACTAATAAACTTAAAATTTTAGGTGAAATATAACCTATTCATACTATTTATAAAATTCACGCTAGTACAGTTTGCAAACTGCTGATTGGAGCTTTGAAGTTTGTCCACGTCACAGTGTGTGTCGTCTTCTAAGCTTTTTAGCCGACCTGGACCTTTGACTGTGAGTGTTTCCATTACTCTACAGCCCAGGGCTCTAACATTCTTATGGATGTGGCAGTGAATGTCATTGACACACTTGTGTGTAACAGCAGTCAGGTGTACGGTGGAGCCATCACTAAGAATATGATGTGTGCCGGCGATATGAATGGGGACCGGGACTCCTGTCAGGTAAATGTACCATTGGCTCCATAATACTAGACCACAGTGACCTCAGGCAAATACATTATTTACTGGCCGGGTCTCGCCCAGTGTTTCTTTGTCTCATGACATTGATTTATTCTGGTGTTTGGGCAAATGCTGTTGGTGTTCACTGTTCACAGTGCTGCAAATATGTTTTATTCAACCAAGCATTTATTATGCAAGCATGACGAAATTTGCTTTAGGAACTATTTTATATGAAAATTACAATAGGTCTATATGTCACACAGATTTTTGTTTTGTAAAAAACTAATAGGAAAAGGAGTATAATCTTTTCTTATTTTATCTTATTTCTTAGAAATAATATTAAATAATTTAGTGCAACCAACAAAATCGTGTGGTGCAATATACTGTATTTTAAAAGTACTTTTCTAAAAACAATTAATTCGTTTTGTTTTAAATTGTACTATACACTATTTTAATAAATGTTTTAGAAACACTTTACTTAAACTTTTATGTATAATCCATTATACATGTATTCATAATGTATTATATATTTTCATAAATAATTTTGACCACAGTTAAAATGCATCATATTTGCAGATTCTTTGTTAAATCTGAAATTGGTTCAATGAATAGTTCAGAACAATAATGCTTTATAACACAGTTCATATTACAGTTCATGAAACCACGTAATTCATTATAAGGTGCATTACAAGGCATAATTAATGCATTAAATATAATTTTATAATGCATTACATATAAAGGCTTCACAATGGTCTGAAGTTCCATTCTCTTTCTCTCCGTCCTTGTTGTTGGTTTCAGGGGGACAGTGGAGGTCCACTGGTGTGTAAGGAAGATAATGAACGCTGGTATCTGGCCGGAATTACCAGTTGGGGAGACGGTTGTGGACGAAGACAAAAACCAGGAGTATATAGCAGGGTGACCGGCCTTCTGCCCTGGATCTACAGCACGATGCAGGTAAGGTGTACAGCATGGTCCAACATGAGTCCATGTAGATCATAATATTATTCTGTATACTTAGTGCTTTCTCTTAACATGTCTATATCTTGTCTTTTGAAAAATTAGCAAGAGAAGCCCTGATGCCTTTCTTCTGTATGGTGTGTCCATCCCTGACAATTTGAACAATGACAGTGGACACAGGACAAAAGATGAAGGACAGAGTAATGCACTTTGACATGGGACAATATTGCAATATTGTAGCCACAATTGGACAAAGAAAAATACTTTATTGATTCCACGGTCTCCTACAAGAATAAAACAACTCAACGCGGGAAAGCAGAGCTGCAGGCATTGAAGCGCATGCAGTTCACCTCTGTTGCTTTCCTCATTCTTTTCTATGCATTTATACTGTAAGTTCACAGCACACTGCTGAACCTGAGCCTTTGTTGCTTCTTTAACTCTGTATCCTTGCACTGATTCTACAGAAATAATGGGAGTGTTCTACTAATATGTATTTATTAACCAAAAGGGTGTTAATTTTACTTGAAAATCAGTGTCTATGAGCTAAGATAAAATGTGATTGTGTTGTTTTAGCCTGTGTGAAGGTTCCGTCCTTTTCTCTCTGATTCCTATTGCTTCTTTATAAATCATGCCAAAAGCAGATACAGTTTGAGCTTTATTCTTCAAGTGTGACGGTTGAAAGAGTGCGAGGTAAGGTCTAAGTAACATTTGCCAACCATTTTAGGATAGAATTAATGATGAGGCAAGAAACATTATTGTGGTTTTCAGCACATTAAAGGGATAACTCTCGTGGACTAAACCACTCAATTCATATGGATTGGTTTTACGATCTCTTTATGAACTTTTGGAAGCGTCAAAGTTGCGTAGTTTTCGAGGGACAGAAATTTCTCAGATTTCATCATTTGTGTTCCGAAGATGAACGACAGTGTTATGGGTTTGGAATGACTTGAGAGTAATTAATGACAGAATTTTCATTTTTGGGTGAACTAACCCTTTAAGCATAAGATTACGAGTGAATGCGTTTACATTATGAATGGATTTAATAAACCCTTGAAATATCCTTTTCATTACCTTTTCTGTAGCCAAGACTATAAGACTAAGACTTTCAAAAATAACTCCACTTTGAGGAATACCCCACCAAGTGGAACATGTTATTGCAGAATCAACTTTGTCCCTGATGTTTCTCCTTAAACACCTTGTAAAAAAAAAAAAATATATATATATATATATATATATAATAATAATGGAGACAAATGTTGATATACAGTCGTGCTCAAAAGTTTACATACACCTTGCAGAATCTGCAAAATGTTAATTCACGAGTACACACTTACATATAATTAGAAAGAGTAAAGGTTTATGTGTATTTGGCGTGCTGTCCAGGGGGAAGGCTACGAGCTTGGAATTTGGCCCGAACCCAGAGTTTTGTATGATCCCTCTTATTTTGTGAAAATAATTAATATTTTTCAGATACTGCAAGTATGTAAACTTTTGAGCAAGACTGTACAGTTTACAGTACTTCCAAAAAAGCTATGAAATCATGGATAACATAGCTAAGATAATTTGTTCTTGGAAGAATTTAATGAGAAATGTTTGTGCTCATACTCTCTTAAAAAGAAAGATTCCAAAAAGGTTCCGCAGCGATGCCATAGAACCACCATTTTGGGTTCCCCACAGCACAGAACCTTTCAGTTAACAGTTATTAAAATAACCATTTTTCTCTGTATGTGAATAACAATGAAAATAACTTTTTTTTTTCCGTATAATGAACCTTTTGTGCAATGTGAAGGTTCTATGAATGGTAAATGTTCTTTATGGAACCATGGAGTCACGAGGAAATGATATGCTTAGACTTTTGGATACGCACTGAAGACTTGTGTTGCATAGCGGTATACGCTTATAAAGTCCAACCAACCAACCAACGCGTGCGGTGTCTCTCATTGCGCGCGTGGCAGGGCGGGAACCGAGAGAGAGCGCGAGAGAAGAGACAAGGGACAAGCCAACAGTCGGTATATTTATATCAGAAAAACCTTGTTGGCTGCCATACAACATCAAACGCTCGTTTAAGCGGATTTTTGCCCATCCACAACTTTTCGTTACATTTCAAAACGCCAAATTACTTAACGGCTTGAGAACCCGACAGTCGCGCGGATCGTGTCTGGCAATTGGAAGCAGCGTTTGCCCCAGTGTTGCCCATCCACTTACAATTAAGGAGACAAGACGAGGTAGGGTATGAAGTCACTTTACCAACGAGGGCGTGTGCTGTTGTTTTATAGTCTTGATGTTGTTGCATGCTGTTTTCTCATTATAAATGTGGTATTTTGGGAATGACATGCGTAATTGCTGGCTTTTACTCCAATTACATCATCAGTCTAAGTAGCCTAATGTAAACATTTAATAAATGGACTGTGGACATTTCAAAAGCCATATATATATTTTTAAATGTATAATACGGTTTACGCATAGAAGTGAACACAGACTTAAAAAAATTAATTATTTTACGGCTATTCAATTAATGTTTGAATACACATTGCTGTACAGCGCCGTTGTTGTTTCGGGAGGGTGTGTCCGAATTGCTTTGTGTGTTGTTGCCTCGTTAAATGACTATTTACATGACCTCTATACATCATTCGTGTTATGTTTGCGGCAAATTATTATCTGAGCTTTATTTGCATGATAATAATGAAAATGTGTTAATGTGTTTCTGAGCAACTTCTTCCTCCGAAATGAGTGGGGAAGTGATGATGGCGCACGAGCGAATTAGAGATAAAATTATGAGAGGGAAATGTATGGGGGAAAGTGGGGAAATGATATTTTAGTATGCATGCTGAAGGAAATCCACAGGTTGGGAGGGGTCCGGTGATGATGACCACGACTGAGCTCCGCGCGCACAACAGGTAGCTCGTTATCTTCGCCAATGATCGATACATTATAAACGAGAACAGAGTAAAAGCGCTTTTACGCGGCGCTCTCTGGAATACTTGATTCTGATTGGTCAATCGTTAAATATTTCTTAACAATGACCTTCATGACATCTCCACTCACAAATCAAAATTGCATGTCAATTCATTTGGCAAGTAGTCGTGTAACAATTCAGATAATGTACATTCACAGAACAAACCTTTTCAGAGTGATACAGTGTGATCATTATTATTTTGGAATCATGATTATTTAACTGTACATTATCCCGTAAAATGTCATTTTATTGGATCCTATAACAATTGTATCTTGTGCCCTGCATTTATACGGTTTTGATGACGTGCCCGAATACCATCGTGTTTTGATTTCTAAATAATGTCTGGGCAAGGATTTGTCCTGCTGTCAGCTGCCACTTAATACGCTACATCAGATATTCTGCCCTTTGCCAAACAGTGATAGCCATCGTTTTTAGTTTCTAGGTTACCATCACTATCTCTTGCAAAACTACAGCCAGCTTTCTGTACTAATAATCGTAATCACCTGACGGATACAGTTGCCATAGCAATATTTTTGCACCCTGATAGAGCCGCGTCTGGCAGCGCGCCAATGAAAGCTTTGTTGTCATGGATACAATTTACGCTCGTTGTGGTTGATCAAAGGCTTAAGGGTCTCACCTTAAATTGTCAACGATGACCTATTGTTCACAGCGAAATTTTATTCTATAAACTGAAATCCTTGATCTGTTTCAATAAATCTACAAGGCTAATATCCTATTCTGCTGAAATATGGTAATGAGGATCAGGCTAATTATGGGTGACATTGCATATGACTGGTAGTGTATGAATCAAAAATCATATGAGCTTACAAAAAGGGAGAATATACAATGCATTCAATATTGTTTTGCTGTCTTATAGGCCTACCATTTTCTGTCATCAACACCCCCGCAGGCATTTTAGGTTTTTTTCTTCCCTGCATCACATCATTTCTAAATGGAAAAATATGCAATTTAGCTAATCACAATGATGTCAGATATTATTTTGCACATAAAAAAAGAGGAGTGAAGGAAAGGGAAATAGGCACAGCATTCTAAACAGACGGCAAATACTGAAGGATATGAAATTATTATACGTAATGTCATCATTTTAATGGGAAAACAATGTTGAATGTAAATGGGGGAAAAAAACTGTATATAAATAAGTGCATATAAATGAACAGTTGGCCAATAAAAAGTTTGAGTCGCTTTACACTTTACCATAAAAGTAAAAGAATGTAAAAGAACATTCTATGTTCATAGAAATCCATAATGTATAACATTTGATTATATATATTTTTTTAAAATTGGTTACTTATTATTATTATTATTAATTAATTTATTAAAAAACATTACAAAAATGTATAACAATACAGCTTACATAATGCCAGTAGAACAAGGGAAAAACAGAATATATGTTTTGTATTATGTAAGTGTTATGTGATATTTAGTTCTTGATACTGCCATCATACCTCCTGTAGCACCACATATAACACTCTATTATAGCATATTTCCCAGAGCAACACATTCTAAAATATACTATTGATGTTAATTGGCGAGAGAAGGTTCTCTTCTGTGGTGTTTTTAGCGGGCCTAAAGGTGCATAAAACAGCGATAATTAGATGGGGAGAGAATCTGCTCCAGTTCTGGCAGATTAAAAGCGAGTAAACACTTGCACTCCTCTTACACCTAGTCATGAGAGCTCTCAGCCGGCGACAGGCTCTGTTGATAATATTATTCGCTCTCATTCATAGCGCGAGTCATATCATTGAGGTCAGATTCTCTCAGCATCCAACATACGGTCTAGTAACTACTGCTTTGCTACATGATGAAGCGGTATTTGATGACGAAATCAGTGCAACAAAAATACCACAATTATGCACTTCACTTGTAACCTGTCGCCATATCTTTAAGATGAATTCTTCTGTTCAAAACGGGACGCTCAGTGCGGGACACTGAGCAGAGTATTCAAAATAAATTTTTAAAATAAAAAAAACATAATCTAATGACTCTAACCATCTATCCATTGTAGGTAGTTGTTTGTTTGTATTTGCTACTTGTCAGAATAGAAATCCATAATTCATATGACAGTCATTGGGAGTGAATTATGTTTCGTCTCGTTCACAAGCCATCCAAATAGAGCGACTGGCTTCCTTTTGTCCATCCAGAGAACACCGGAAATATCTGTAGCCGACAACATAGTCTAAATTGATTCTGAGGGTGATTAACACGGGTCAGCGACTGACTGGGGAGGCATTTCTTGAAAGGATAAATGAATTGGCTGCATCAGTACTCTGCCATTAATTAAAGCCTTGTGAAGGCATCCATGAGTTCACTATTACTTTATTCTTTCATTTTATTATCACAGTATGTGCATTGTTGTTGTATTTGTGTGAAGTGGAAGCTTCGTTTTCAAGAAAGAATTATTGTGCTATAAAGCTCTTTCTGATATGATTGTTCTGCTGACTTGTTGCTTAAATGTATAGAGCAAGGGTTCGCAAACTTGCATGCTTCATGGTTAGCCTTTAGTAACGATGAGAGAACAAATAACGTGGAAGTCCTCACTCTTCATTACCAAATGATCCAAGCGAACCAAACTATAAGTGTGAATACACATTAAATAGTGTACCAGTACACTGCTGACCAAAAATTGTATGTATATATATATATATATATATATATATATACAT